GAATTTGAGCACCATCTTTGATCTTCGTCTCCATTTGCAGAGGAGCTGCAGCTCAGGCTGTGCTGCCAGGCGAGCGCTTGAGGGTGCCCCTTACAGACTCTGTCCCCAGACCACGGCCACCGCAGGACCAACTGCAGCACATCCCTCCTGCCACCGACCCAGAGGTCTCAGACAGAAACAGGGTGAGGGGAATAGCACAGAGCCAGGACACGGGAAGAAGGCACTGGGTGCCCAGCGATGGGAAGGTACCGGCGAGAGCCTCCGGTCCAGCTCCGGGGACTCACCCATCGCTCAGCTGGGAAGAGAGTGGGAGCTGGTCCGTGCACGAGCCGGGCTGCTGCTTCTCCACTGCGGGGAGGTCAAACACCAGCTTAAAATCCATTTTTTTTATTAGTAACCATCACACTCGAAGCATTATTTTAAAAGTTAGACCTTTTTTACAACCCTAATGATTTCTGGTTAGAGAAGAACAGACCTAGGGACTCTTGCAAAGCACAGACTGAGTTATGATTAAGATGGTATGTTAGCACAAATCCAATAGTGAGCATGCCATTGAAGACTCTAATATGCTTAAAGCTAGGCATCTGCTATGTATCTTGTTGAATTAAGGCTATGATAACAAATGTGAAATAATCCCCAAGGTAACAACCAAAAAAAAAAGTACTTCTGTAATTCATTTTCACATAAGCACCTGGCCTTTACTGCTCCAAGTTATGTTATTTCCCTGTAATGTAAGACCTCACTCCAGTATTTTGCTACGAGGCTTCTTCTGAAAAATCAATTCTCTGGTGAGAATTAGTGGACTTGAAGATTAACAATGTGAAAATAAGAAAGGTTCTGCTGCAGAGTGAATGCCACAGAGAAATGGGTCAAATGTACCTTTTATAAGCTCCTGCTGCTTGAACAAAATTTTTCTTATTTCATTCAACCATGCCATCTTCAGATCTACTGTTTGGGCCTGGAAGAAGGGAAAATTGTCTGAATTTTGAATTAAGAATCATCCATTATAATGTATGAATAAAATCTTACTTTTCTATGCTGTAATTATCTGAAATCCCCTTCTATCCAAAGCCACCACTAAATTTTAAACATTCTTGATCTTTTAAAATTGATGATCCCCACTACATCCAGGCAAAACACAGTGGAAATTGTGGAGCCATCACTACAATGCAAGGAGTGCAGGCAAAAGCACACGTGTGCCTGCATCTTATCTCTTTTACAATAGACCTAAAGGGCCAAATCTGTCTTTTGAATATATCTATACTTGGCTACCTGTATCTGCTTTGTGAATTTAAGTTGGCTACTGTGTTGTAACACGGAGAAAAAAAGCTAGGCAGAAGACTAATTAAAAAAGATCAATCAACAATATTTTCACAATGGGTTTTCCTGTGAACACCCCGTTAGGCAAACATTTTGCCATCATAAATTTCTATTCAAAATGCTACAAAAGAAAAAAAAAATCAGGAAGAAATCAGGTCAATCGGGCTACTATTTTGTAGCCGAGTCAAAAGACTACTGGAAATAGCACCACGGAGGCCAAGCCTTTGCCCTGGGAGCAGTTCTGACATGTAATTGTAGAGGAGCACATGTGGCCCATGGCCATTAAAGCATGAGGCCCATTTCCCAGCTCAATTCACATAAGCTATTAAGCACAGTAAAACTACTGGTCTATTTTGAGATTTCATCTGGAATAAAAGGCTCTATTTCCAAGGAGCAATTCTGTCTCCGCTTTAAGCTGACTTTTACAGTTCTGGACTGGACACCAAGGACCAGCCACTGGGACAGCTCTGTGAACGCTGACATGGGCAAAGAGGAAGAAGAAATGCAAGTTAAATGTCTGATAATCCCATAAAGATCAGTGGAAGACATTTCCTTAACACCGTTATGAGGATGTACAAACATCCAGATTTTTGAAGCTTCAAACCTGCACGACATAGACCTCTTCTCGCCCACTATACCAGATTTCAAATTTCCGATGATCTCCTTTGACATTCTCAGTTATTCCAACTGCATTCATCTGCAAAAGAACCAAAAACTTAAACATACTACAAATCTCTCCCTCTTCCCTATGATTCCAGACATTTTGCAGCACGTTAAACAAACCTGTTTTCACCTAATTTAACACATTTCTTCAAATTTAATTTCAGTAGCAACTGAAAGTCATTATCTAACTTATTCCCCCTGATTTTCCGCCAGCTTGCTGTATTTGCAAAAGCTTTCTGAATCTCATCAATGGACCTTAGGGGACTTTTCATTTGGGAATTAGTGGAACTAACTGAAAAGTCATCTCATACATCTTCCAGCATGAAATTTCTCAGATGAGGCATATGAAACTTTATAAATGCACGGCACATTATTCTTCCACATACATTATTTCTGCCATATGATTCTTTATTTACTCACTGAATTCTGCATTTCTTTTTATCAGCGATCTTGAAAACCCATTTGTGAAGCCCTCACCTCCTTTAGGAATTTCAGTTCAACGTCTTTTGGTCCCTGACCATCCCTGTACTTGAGACATCATCCCAAGGTTTCCAAAAGAAGGGCTAATTTTTGGATATACAGCCCAAGCTGCCATAAATCTGGCTTTCAGGAAGCACACAGACTTCAAGCTAGACGTGGCTGAATACTGCCATACCTAGGTACCCGTTATCACAGACCACTTTTGATAAGCTGGATGGAAATGCCAAAGGCCCAAATAATTCAGGATCTGTACAACATGACCCAACTGAATCAGTAGCTCAAACTATGGTTAGAGACCAAAAAACTCTTCAGCAACAGGAGACCTCTGAGCCACCTGCTACCATGCCATAAAGCTGAAAAATGCTTTAATACCTGCTATCGCATAAACCATCTTCTCACTTAAAGCACAGTTTGCTAGCAATTTATCGCTGATTAACAGATGGTCAAAAATAGCTGAAGTATCCCACTTACATGTTTCAAAACAGATCTAATAATAACAGTATCATCTATCATAAATTATTGATAGAGACTCCATTAGATCAATCAGTATAAATACAAATAAGGCCTTAGAAAGAACATCTGTTTAACATTGCTGTTCTTTGTTAATATGTGCATCCTCAGAGCTTTTGGTCTGAACGACTACGAGGATTTACAGATTAGGTCACTTGGGCAAACTTTCTGTTCCTAGTTACTTTTTCAAATGCTGGCACCCATTTTCAGTGATACGAACAGCCTCAGGAAACTGGAAGCAAGCTGCTAATTAGCTTTCCTTGTTTTTTCACTGGTATGAACAGCAGAGCTCTTATGAACTTCTGAGAAAGTGTTTGCCTCCAGAGGCAGAAAGGCCCACCACTGAACAGCAGTCAGTATTTCCTAGTTTTATTTTATTTTAAAAATTTTTAAATATTTTTTAAAATTATTTTATCCTGTGCAGTATAGTGCCATAAAGCCTTAGAAAGGCAGATCAGGCTCCATTCTGATTTTATGAAAACTTAAAAAAATAATTTATGAAATATGTTGAAAGGGCAGCCTAGAGAGTGCCTCATCTATATTCTGCAATTTCCAGTTCTGTGCATCTACTCTGGCATGGCAATTTATATGAAAGATCCTACAAAACTGCCCAGGCATCAAGATATTAGAAATTATAGATCACCTACTATGAGGGTGCAAAGGAAAGTGCCAGGAATAAACATATTTAAGGTCTGTTCATTCATGTTAGTGGATTTTAAAATTCTGCTTCCTCCCCCTGACCAGGATTTACTGTCCCTCAGCTGTTGGTTCACTGCAATGCAGACCGAGGTGGGTTAGCGCAAAGCTCTGGGATGCGTTCATCGGCATCACCTTCCACGGCGGTAAGAGCAGACTGATTTACGTGGCATTGCAGCGAGTTATGAACCTGCATCCTCTAAGCTACTGAATCTCAGCTGAAGAGGTATTTACCACTCAATATTTTACGCAGTATGTAAAATATTATCCTGAGGGGTTCTTTAGTTTGTTTTACAGACATCCAGTTACACAGCCTCTATGCAACAGCTTGCTGTAATTCTGAATCCCCAGAAAACATTCTTGCAAAGGAAAATAATTTCCTGATGCTATCATGAATGAAACACATGTCAAGCTCCAGAAACATGATTTCACCCTCAGGACAGCAATTCCAAAAATGTGTGTGTGCGGATGTAATCCTGCAGCATCCATGGATTCTCTAACCCCAACCTCTCAGCATGGCAACACAAACAACTGGACACTGAGCCCTCTGGAGGCAAAGAAAAACCCTGGCCACGTTGCCTGGACTCCTGAACACGAGATTTTCTCCTCCGAGCAGGCTTTCCTCATGCCATCTCTTCAGTTCTTTCAAAAGCACGTATGGTAAAACAAGTACTACAGGGAAAACAAGCTCTTCAGAAAGAAAATGATGCTGCTTGGGAAAAACATTTAAGTACCTAAACATATGGCCTGGGATTTGGTTTTAATACGCAATTTGTAACAGGCACTGGAGCTGAACAGACTTATCTCCTTTTACATGGCTTTCCAAATACTCGTGGCATCTCTCTCTCCAGACCCCGCTGAGATCAGGGACCTGCAGCACCTGGGCCTGAAGGCTCTGCCTCCAAGTGCCCATCTTTTTTCCATTCTAAGATATACCCATATTGGGTTTTTATTTATCAAGAAAAACAAGGCAGAGTACTGAGACAAAATGCTGATGCTAGAAGTGCTCATCACACGCAGTATGCCAGAAGGTCTCTTTTAGAGGCAGTTTGGGATTTTTATTGATAACAGTTGGCATTTATAGGCTTCGGACAGTTGTTTATGTCCCTCATACTTTGCCATAGGCTACTCTCTTCATCTGATAATGTACTTTTAGCTGCAGTTAGAGCCTGCCAAAGAAGAAAGGCAATAAGAGAGGAAGAAGAGTTACCTCCACATCCTCCTGGTGGGGAAACAGGGCTCAGGAGCAGCCAGGCTCCTCCAGGCTGTGCACCAGACAGATCCCAGCCCAAGGGACCTCCCTGGGACCAGGGGTGTGAGGAGCCCCTTGCTCTCCCAGGTGGGCTGGGGAAGGTGCAAAGGGCCTCCCCAGTTTTATTCTCTCACCCCTGCTCCTGGAAACTGGACTAGGTGAGGGGGGAAGGCATGTGCTCGTCCCTGGGACTTGGCCACAGCACCGTTTCCCTGGCAGATGCCAACACATATGTGACTCTGAGTCCATGAGCTCTCCCAGCTGCTGCTTCAGCTATGAGGGTCCTCACAGCTAATTACAACCAACAACCTTTCATGGGCATGGCACTTCTATACAGGGCACTATAACCCTTAATAGCAGAAAAGCAGAAAACAAGCCACTGTGTGAGAGGAAAGATACTCTCTGGGTCTGCAGAGTTATTGGTTTACAATATACATGGCAACGGCCCAAACTAAAAAGTCCTTACTTTCAAAAAATGCTTAAAACTGTAAGATGAAGTTTTGTCATATCCGTCTCCATGCTCCTCTCGCTTCTTGCAGAAGACCAAGGCTTTCTCGTACAGGAACAGATGCCTCTGCATTGGCTTGAACCTGGCAAGATCCTTCATTTTTGTTGGACCTTTTCGGTGTCCTGTCCAAACACTGAAAGATCCTTGCATCAATACTTTCCCCAGTTCAGTCAGGTCACCCTGGTGAGAGTATGACAAATAAAAAAAGAAAGAAAAAGGCATTAATTACAATGTAAGAGGACTGTCCAAACAATGACGGGCGATGGGGCCAGCCCTGTTCCAAGGCACATCACTCTAAGAATAGGTCTTCCTGGAAGGATCAGATGATCTTTTGGGAGTGACGGCATGGTGCCAGGAGGGAAGCAGAGGTCCCAGACGCAGGGCTGCAGCTAGCCTATGTGAAGGGATACAAGTCAGTAACTGGAAGAACCAGGAAAATGGGAAAACTCTCCAGCTCCTATGGAAGTCCAGGTCAAGGGCTCTGGCTACTTCAGTGGGTGAGGGCAGATGAGATCTGAGCCTGAACTGAGGTCTCAGAGGATGGACTTCTCAAGCAGGCCAGGACTGGCACCAGCAGCTTAGAAAGCCAACCCCGCACCCTTCCCTGAATCCCTAGGAAAGACAACCACCGCAATGGGCAAGGATCAAAACCAGCCTTAGAGAGTATTTAGTTAAATGTTGAATGAGAAACGCTGTGAAGACACTCCAGGTGAATTATAAGGTGAGTCACGAGAGAACTGAGGTGCACGCTGGAAAAATACTCTCGAAAACCACAAGGTGGCAAGTGTGGGCGCTATGCGACTCGGCATGTCCTTCGGATGCGGCTATTTCCCAAAGTCCTGAAATCAGATGGAAGACTGTCACCTGTAAGAGCTTCCTGATCCCATTCACATTGTAGCTGTTCTAGTATAGTTTTTAGCTCATACATTCTGGGACGCTATCCATTCCCAATGCATCATCTGGCCTTGTGCAAGGTCTCTCATTACCCAAATCTACTCACATCATATCCTGTTATTGAAATCTGATGCATAGAGTCATTCACTGACTTTAGCAAATCCAACATTGCAACCAGAGCTTCTTGAAGTTCCTGAACTCCATCACAGCTCGTGCTGTACTTTAGCAACTCCTGAAAATAGAAATGGAAAAGCACGTGTTTGCACTTGAACAAAGCAGACTTTTCCATCTCACCCAAAGTTTCCAATGCCCAAGAGCAACCTACACTGCCTGAGTTTCTTTTTTCATATGTCACTGGAAAAAAGACTCACTCTAAACCACAGTCATTGTGAGGTGTGGAAGAGATCACTGAAGCATGGCCCATTTTTTCTGGGTTTCCTTAGGGACGGTGTCAGGTTATAGAGCGGCATCACGCTCATCTGAGTTCTTTGTGTTGTGTTTTCCTGCTCAGTAAGAAACGGAAAATAAGGCTCAGGTTTTCCATCAGCTGCCAATATGTCATATATGCCTTCAAATGAGGTTGCAGCAGATGATTGTCTGCAGACTGGCAGACACAAGGAACTGATTTTATAAAATCCAGAGCCTTCAAGTCAATAAGCAGAAGACAGAGTTGGGAATTACACCACTGATATAAAATTACTTTCATTTCAGACCTCCTCTGCCCACTTACAGCTTCTTGTGTAACTCATCCCTCATTCAAGAAGCTGGAAGGTGGGGTTCAGAAGCCACTACCCCACTGTTGTTCACACCCTGTAAAGTGGGAATAACAACACTGCCCTGTCTCAGACGGGGGACACAAGAATAAATGCACTAAAGATTACAGGCACTATAACAACCTGAGGAGAAGAAGAGATGCATCAATATAATGTACTTCATTCATCATACTCTTATGATCATCTCTGGTTCAGTTTTCTTAGAAGTGCTTCTGTCATTTTGTGTCTCTGAACAGTTTCAAACAGTCTTTCTCCCCCCAAAAATGGCTTATTAAAAGCACTTGTTCCTTTTCCAGGTATGTGAATTTTCTTCCTCACTGAAAGTCACTATGGAGGGCCAAGATAAGCAATATGTAATCTAAGGCTTGGTGCTGATTTACAGGTAACCTTTCATTGAAAAATAAAACAAACCAGAAAACAAATCTCCTGATGTCCTTTCAAAGCAGAATATGAAATACCTTCAGAAGTAACTGGTATTTTGTCAGGCGCTGCACTGGTTTGAGCAAATAGGAATCCAGCCCGAGTTTGT